CACACACACACCCCATACACACACACCCCCTGCCACACACACACCCATACACACACATACCCCATATGCACACACCTGCCACACACACACCCCCATACACACACACACACCCCTGCCACGCACACCTCCCATACATACACCCCTGCCACACACACACCCCATATGCACACACCTGCCAAACACACACCCCCATACACACACACACACCCCTGCCACGCACACCTCCCATACATACACCCCTGCCACACACACCCCATACACACACACTTGCCACACACACACACCATACACACACACACCTCTGCCATGCGCACCCTCCATACACACACACCCCATACACACACACCCCCCATATGCACACCCCTGCCACACACACACCTGCCACACACACACCCCATACACACACACACCCCTGCCATACACACCCCATACACACACACCCCATGTACACACACCCCATAAATACACACACCTGCCGTGCACGCACACCCCTGCCATGCACACCCCCATGCACACACACCCCTGCCATGCACACCCCCACACACACCCTCACACACACCCCTGCCATGCACACCCCCCCACACACCCTCACACACACCCCTGCCATGCACACCCCCACACACACCCTCACACACACCCCTGCCATGCACACCCCCACACACACCCATGTGCACATGCCCCTGCCATGCACACCCCCCTACACACACACACACAGGTTCCTCTATGCTCTCCTCTCTGCCCTGGGGACTAGAACCTCTGACCTCAGCCAGGGCCCTGAACCAGTCATCTCAGCACCCAGAGCAGTCACACCAGGCAAGGAGGAGCAGCAGAGGTGTGGGCAACCCTCTGCCCCTGCACAGCTTTGGGAGCCCCTCTGCTTACCCCACAGAGATTTACCCTCATCCCTCCAGGGCCCCACACGTGTGTGACCTCCAGCTGTGCCACATGCCGTGTGCCCCTGCTGGGTCCCTAGCGGAGTCCGTGGACCATCAGCCCTCTGCTTCCTCACCCTCCCTGCCTCTCATGTGGAGCGCAGGGCCTGGCTCCAGGAGGGTTAGGCATGTGCAACCTGCAGGGTGCCTGGGAAGAGGGAAGGGGGACATCTGGGTGCCAGCTCAGGGGAGGTGGGAGCAGCTTGGCCAGGCCAGCGCCTGGCCTGGCCGGCACCCTGGCTGGAGAAGGGCCCTTAGCTGAGGTCAGCAAGCGTTTATGTTGTGTATCTGCTTTGAGCTGGACAGCAGGTGTCTTGGTCATTTTCTGTCGCTGTAGCTGGGTAATGTAGGCGTGCGTGTCGGCCCAGCTCCTGGTGCTGGAAGCCGCCTCTGAGGAGGCCCTCCTTGCTGGTGACGACTCTGCAGGGCCCAGAAGGGTGCAGGACGTCCCATGGTAAGGCAGTGCAAGGGAACACCCATCCTCATCTTCGTCAGCCACTAACGCCCCCGAGGGACCCACGCTCATGGTCCCGTGACCACCTGCAGTCCCAGTTACCTCCCAAAGGCCCTGCCTCCAAGCGGCATTTGTCTGACTAGGGGCAGAGGGCTCCAGGTCCCAGTCTCTGAGTGTGTATGGAGGGGCCTGTGGGGCATCTCCCAGGGGCCAGGGAGTCTAGGAGTTGCAATCTCTCTCTCAGCCAGGTGAGGATCCTGGTCCTGGCAGGCCCAGGGGTTAGGGGGGAGGGGGTGGCTTTGTCTTGGCAGCCCTTACTGTCCTCATCCCTAAAATGGGTCCAGTTGTCCCAGCCCCGGGAGCGCCCGGGAGGCCACAGAGCAGGGTGCGGTGGAAGAACTCAGTGTTTCAGGGAGGCCAGAGCTGGTGATGGGGCAGGACTGGCAGGCACCTAGCAGCCCTATCTCCCCGGGGCCTTTTTACGTACAATGTAACAAAGCCGCCCTGTCTGCAGTGGGGAGGACTTCCTCTCCAGGGCTCTGTTTGCTGGAGCAGTAGGTTGTTTTGTTGGCCTGTGGCTCGCTTTGTCTCTTCTGCTGGCAGCCTGTTTGGTTGGAGGCCGTCGCCTTCGCCTGCGTTACTTGGATACCAGAGAGAGAAGCAGGTGATAAGTGATGGCCCAGCGGAAATGGAGTTATTCCTGCAGATGAGAGCAGGCCTTTGAAGGGTGGCATTCGTGCCGCGGACAGCAAGGGGGCCACCCTGGCGGCATGGCCGGTGTACCCCTGTGTGGGCCGCACAGCGCCCACAGGGCCTGGCACACTGGAAGCACCCAGCGGCTGCTCGCGGAATTGTCAGACTTTGCATCTTCAGAGCCTCAGGTGCTTTTGGTGAACAACGTGGAAGGAGTGGAGAGGCCGTGGTAGCCACATCACGAGGCCGTGTCTGTGCTGCATGTCTGATAAGGCAGTGCCAGCCACTGTGATGATGCCCAGAGTGCAGCCTGATAGAGTGGACGCCTGATCCCCGCCCCTGCCCAGGGTGCAAGGACGCAGGCATCTTGATTTCACTGTGGATGCCACTTTCTCCCAGGGCCTCAGAGTTCTGAGCTTGGAGCTGGCAGAAGCAGAAGGGGAGAAGAGGGGAAGCACCTTCCCCCGCTGTGGTCACATGCGATTGGTGGGGACTAGTCACATGGCCACACCTGACTGCAAGGGCAGCTGGGAAATGTAGTCCAGCTGTGGTCACATGCCATTGGAGGGGACTAGTCATGTGGCCACCCCTGGGCAAGGGCAGCTGGGAAATGTAGTCTAGCTGTGGTCACATGCCATTGGTGGGGACGAGTCACACGGCCACCCCAGGTGCAAGGGCAGCTGGGAAATGCAGTCCAGCTGTGGTCACATGCCATTGGTGGGGACTAGTCACATGGCCGCCCCTGGTGCAAAGGCAGCTGGGAAATGTAGTCTTGGGCTCACCAGCTTTTGCTGCCCAGGAGGCTAACTCCACACTTGGTGGGAAAGGAGCACGCAGGGGCCAGTGTTGTGGCAAAGTGGATTAAGCCATAGTTTGCAATGCCCGCATCCCATATTAGAGGACTGGTTTGAGTCCCGGCTGCTCCACTTCCAATCCAGCTCCCTACTGGTGCACCTGGGAAAGCAGCCAATGATGGCCCAAGTGCTTGGGCCCCTGCCACCCACAAGGGAGACCCTGGATCCTGACTTGGGCCTGGCCCAGACCTTGGCCATCATGAGCATTTGGGGAGTGAATCAGCAGATGGAAGACCACACTAGCACTCTCAGCCTTTCAAGTAAATAAATCTAAATAAATAAATAAATAAATAAATAAGGGCAATGTGCTTGTGGGGAACCGCGAGCACTTCTGGGCATAAAAGGAGCCAATTCTGTTCCCAGTACTCTCGCCCGGGCTCACTCGAGCTGCGCGTGTACGGCCTGGCATCTGGGTGGAGCCTGACACACAGCAGCGAGGGCCTCCGGAGTTCCAGTTTTGAAACCGGCCGCATCACTTCCGTGCCTCTTTGCAGGATTTAGCAGGGAAGCTGGGGGAGGGGGGTGGGAGGAGGGATTTCACTGAGAGGAAGATACCCAGACAGCAAACCAGGGTCCCTCGTAGTTCTCGTGGCCCCTACACGCACACAGGCCTGAGCTAATGGTGGCTCGTGTCCTCTCCTGCTAGCTGAGGTCCAAACCTGCCGCGTTGGCAGCGAGTGGAGTGCTCACTCGGGAGTCGCCGTCGTGTTTGCGAAGTGCGCTCTTTTGTTGCCAGGAGAAATCGGGAAGAGAACCACAGACGCCCTCTTCCCCTGTGGCGGCCACCTGCGGGCTCCCAGACTCACCAGGACACTGGCCGCCTCAGAGGCCCGCTCCGGCAGCTTCCGTTGCCTGCCTGGGCCGTCGCTGTCACCTGGCCAGGGCTCTGTCCTCCTCCCTGGCCGAGGCCGCCAGGACTCCACCGGGAGTCAGGCCGTGCGGGTCCAGCGTGCGGGGCCGAGGCTTTGCTAACCGTGTCTCCCTCCTCTCCGTGCAGAAACCCGTGCGGACCGCAGCAAGAAGCTCTTCAGGCACTACACGGTGGGCTCCTACGACAGCTTCGACGCCGTCAGGTAAGGCGCTGCCTCCTCGGGCGCGGGGGCCCTCCGTGCGGTGGGTGCGTGTCGTCTCACCTGGAGCGCCCCTGTGGTTGGAGTGAAGCTGGGGGCCGCCCCAGAGGAGGCGGCCGGCTTTCAGGGGGTGGGACGGGGGGCATGGGCAGGGAGAGAGCAGCCCCATGGGAGGAGGGTTGAGGCAGAACGTCCAAGTGTGGACTCACGCATCGACCTGTCCTGTACTCATGGCTGTGGGGGCGGGGCTGAGGAAGGTGGGTGGAGCCGCTCCACCCCATGCCCCACCCTGCCCCCATGGGGTCTGTTTGGTTTGCTCAGAGCCTTGCACCTGGCTCAGGGCACAGGGTTGGCTTCCACGGGGGATCCACGTTCTTGCAGCCGACACCCAGGGGACAACTCAGGTCTGCGGGGGGCTGAGGTTAGGGTGGGGTCGGTTGGCCTGCTCAGGGAGGAGGTGGCCCTCCCGCAGTGGAGGCTTGGTGAGCAGCAGAGAACAGTAGCATCTCTGTCCGCGTCAGCTGCTCCGGCACTGAGTGTCCCCCTGCCCGAACTCCGCCTCCCTGCTGGGGGCCAGGATGGCTGTGGGGCAGGACCCTTGTCCATGGGGAGCCCAGGCCCCTACCCCACCCAGCATTCTCAGCGCCTGGTACACAAGAGGAGGGGAGGCCAGGAGTGGGCACACAGGACTGGTGAGGCCTGGGGCCAGCCCTTGGCGAGAGGCCCAGCCTGGGGCTTCTCCCCTGGCCCCGGGGTCTGTAAGGAGGGGCTAACCCTGCTGCCGAGGGATCTGGCCCGGGTTAGTTCATTTTTATGGAGGTAACATCCGCCTGACGTGAGCTTTGCCAATGTAAAGTGTGTTCACAGCCTGGCACAACCAACCGTCACCTGATGCACGCCCGGCCCCCGGGGGCCCCTTGGCGGGTTTGCCTCTCCAGGGTGTTCTGTGTAGGGAGCCCACAGGGCTTGTGGCCGTCTGCTGTCAGGGTCCGGCCGTCCAGTGTTTCCCATTGTTGTGGTGAAATGCACACCACGGCGCCTTCTTCATCCTCGCCTCTCACAAGGGCGTGGCTCGGGGCACGGAGCACAGCCACGCTGCTGGGCAGCCGTCACCGCTTCCGTCCCCCAGACTCCCGTTCCCAGCCGTCACCACTGCCGTCACCACTGCCGTCCCCCAGACTCCCGTTCCCAGCCGTCACCACTTCTGTCCCCCAGACACCAGTTCGCAGCCGTCACCACTGCCGTCACCACTTCCGTCCCCCAGACACCAGTTCGCAGCCCGTGGCGACCCTGTTCCACCTCCCGTCTCTGTGAGTCTGTTGCCCTCTGCAGCCCACATACTTGGAATCCTGCAATGTCCGTGTGCTTCCCTCGGCGTGGCGCCCTCGGGTCTACCGTGCTGCAGCACTGTCTGAATCTTTAGGTGCTTTTAAGGCCAGATAACCTTCCCCAGGCTGGCCCATCCATCCCTGTCGGGCACTTGGATTATCTCCACCCCTTGGCTTGACAAGTGGCGTCGCCGTGGACGCTGTGTTCAGGTATTTGTTTGAACGCATTTTCAGGAGCCGGACTCCTGGGCAGACTTGGTTCTGACGCCTGCTCCTTCCTCGGCCTGCCTCGCATCCTGGGTGTGCTGTATCACGAAAAACATGCCCAGCAGAGGAGTCGGGCCCCCTCCAGAGGGCACTGCCCACGTCCAGTCTTGCCTCTGAGAGTCCATTCTGTGATCTTGTAGCTGGGTAGCGTCCATGGCCTGGCCACATGCATAGCCACAGGAGCCAGCAGCTCCCAGACAGCCAGGCCTGACCCTAGCTGCTTCTGTTGAGTTCTAGTTTGGGCCAGATGGGTCATTTTGACAGCAGCAGGAGGCTACCTGTGCAAGTGGACCCTGGGCAGGTGGACACGGCCAGCGGGACTCACATGGTGCTTCTGTTGTAGCGGGGAGGGTCTTGGCAGAGCCAGCAATCCACAGTGCCTGGGGCCCAGGAGTGACCGGGAGGGTTCTCGCCACAGTAGCGTCAAGGGCCACCCAAGGGGTTCGGGGACAAGGCTCTCTGAAAGCTGGGAGGGTGCCGGCGGCAGCTGGCCCTCGGGCCGTGGCGGAGCCGGCTTCGAGGGCAGAGAGCAGCGGCCAGGTCGGCCCTGGGGTGCTGGCTTTGGAAGCGGCACCTCCAGGGCCGCCTCCCCACGGGGGCACGGTGCAAGGACCTGCTGTGCTTGACCCTGAGGCCAAGCTGGCTGGGTCCCCTTGCAGAGCATCCCACACGAGCAACAGCAGATGGGGCGTGCCCGGGGCCGCAGCCTACGGCTCCCGGGGCGGTTCAGCCGGCGATGGCGCAGGCCACCAGGAGGGGCAGAGCCCCCCGCCCTCGCGGCCTCTCTTAACGGAAGTCACTGAACCCCAGCCCCGCCCCCTGTGATTCTGTGCAGATGGAAGCCTTCGCTTTACATCTGCTCTGAGCACCTGCTGTGCCAGGAGGCAGGCCACAGAGAAGACAGGCCGAAGGCCACAGCCAGGTCCCTGGGGACTTCTGAGCTAAAGTCGAAAAGCCCCTGCCCTGAGCAAAATTAGGGGTCAGTGCTGCCTGCCCCAGTGAAGGAGGGGCGCGGCCTCACGCACCTCGATGTTTACGTAACAGACACGGAGTCAGGAGGGCGCTGTGTGTCCCTCCCCCCACCGGGCGCCAGCACTGTCCAGGGCTGACCCTGAGTGACCTGGAGGTCAGGTGTGTCGTCCACCTGCTCGGACACTGATGCTGAGAAGTGAAGGCCAAGGTGAGGAGCTGAGGTGAGGTCCCAGGCGAGGGTGTGGCTGCCCCAGCCTGGCCCCAGAGGGAGGCGCAGACAGAACCCTCACCTCCCCAGGCGCAGCTGGGGGACAGAACCGAGCTCCCTTGGGTGACGCGTGACCGCCTGAGTCTGTCCTTCCAGGGTGCAGGAGTTAGGCCGAGGACGGCCGCTGTGTTGGAGACCAGGTTGTGAACTTGGCCGGGACGACAGAGGGCGGGCAGTGCGGGAGCTGGCTGCTGAAGAGGTGGGCGGGTCTCAGTGCCCTGGAGCCCCAGCCCCTGGCATTAGAGGGGGCAGCCGAGCGCCGCTCCTCTGATAGAGCAGGCGGAGAGCATCTGCAGGGCGAGCGCGCCGCAGCTCGTTAGCCTACTGCAGACTCCTGCCAGAAATGGCCTAACGAGCAGCGGAGAGCCTGGTGCTGCACCAGCATTGGGCAATTACCCTCTGTAGGCGGCGGGGTTATGGTCGGGGCAGGCGGAGTGTGGCGGGGGCCGCCCCTGCAGGTGCAAACGTGATTAACAAAGACGGATCCGGATCTGGACGCAGACCTGCTCTGACTCTGCGAGGGGCTTCTCCCCTCTGACCTTCCCCACCACATTACAGCCTGCTCAGAGCGGGGGAGCCCAGTGGCTGACGCACCCGCTCACAGCGACTGGGCCCCGGTGCTCCCTGGCCTTCCCTCCACGCGCCCTGAGTGCACAGGAGAAACGGGGTCCAGACATGGCGACGTCGATCACGGTCATGGTCAGGCAGGACATTATCAGTATTTCAATGGCATTTTAAAAATGTCTTTGGGGCCAGCTTTGTGGCATAGCAGGTAAAGCCAGCACCTGCCACCCTGGGATCCCATATGGGCGCCAGTTTGGGTCCTGGCTGCTCCACTTCCATCCCAGCAGAAGATGGCCCAAGTGCTTGGGCCCCTGCCACCCACGTGGGAGACCTGGATACAGCTCCTGGCTCCTGGCTTCAGCCTGGTCCAACCTGGTTGTTGCAGCCATCTAGGGAGTGACCGCAGTAGGTGGAAGATCTCTCCTTCTCTCTGTCTGTAGCTCTGACTTTCAAATAAATAAGTACATCTTTAAAAAAAAAAAGTATAGAAAGAAGAATCTGAATCCACTCCCTTCGACAAGATCATCAGCCTCACCAGCACAGGCCACCAGGAGGAGTCCACCGAGAGGCACGGGGAGACCTCAAGATCTCACACGAAGCTGAATAAATTCCAT